GTGTGTGTGTGTGTGTGTGTGTGTGTGTGTGTGTGTGTGTGTGTGTGTGTGTGTGTGTGTGTAAGCAGGAAGTTTGGCCTACTTCCTCAGGAGCTTTGAGAACACAGCTGGGACAGAGCCACAAACCCAGACCGGCTTGTCGTTTTAAGTCAAAGAAGTGAGATTTTGTAAACTAGCCAACAACTGGCAAACCCCCTTTGAAATACAGGATTACACAAATCTAGTAGCTTTGTATAAAAAAAAGCTAAAACTATTTACATTATGGCACAAGAACAACATGGTAACTACCAAAAGATCCATAAAAAAACTCAACTTATATAATCAAGTCTGAGCTTCATTTACAGACAAACACGCAATCATCAAATCATTGTCTTCCTCATGAAAATCTAAATTTATGCTCGCCTAAATAAAAGTGAAAAAAAGAAAAAAAAATCTAAGTCAAATCTGCAAAAAATAAAGAGAAATTACTCCTGGGAAAAATCACTACACTGAATTGCGGACATGGACTGAAATCCTTGTATAAATGATTTAATACATTAGTTTTTGTCATCATTTTTGTCAAACAGTGTCTCTTTAAAATAAAAACATAAAAGCATAAAAGCCAAACAGACTTTGCCCAATCAAGACCTACGGTACTCATCTGTTCCACAAACAAAGGTGAGGCCAAAAAGCTTCTGTACTTATCCTACTTTAAATAAAAACTACTTTAAAGTGGTGATATACCAGGGTACTTTATTTATAGTTAATTTTAAGATAAGCATAAGTCAAGTCAAATAAGCCACTTTGATCTGATTGAGGTGTTACGCAACATCATTCTTGGGTTGATTCTGTAGTTTGACAAGTGCTAAAAACACTCAGCCTGCTTTTGTCCAACCCACTGACCGAATTCAGAACCACTGAGTGTGCTTCCTATTTTTCCCTCCAACGCTGCTATTAGAAGGGAGGAGACCATGATGCAAGACGTGTGCAAGACTCTCTGGACAAGAGCCACTCACACACACACTTCCAGACTGCCGGACCACCTCACTAAAACAAGAATCTGATGAGGTCTCYGCAGTGTTCCTAACCCAACAGGCAGAAAGATGCATTATTCTGAAACACTGACAACCAACTTAAAGTAAGTTTCTGCAGAACTGAGGAAGTCAATGTTTACTACACTTTACCATCACAAGCAGTGTCGACATGAATGGAGTTAGAACAGCAAGCTTAGGCCCATTCTCGAAGTCGGCGTGACGTCATTCAGTCACGTGATTTCAACCTCTATTTTTGTATGGGGGGGAACTCCTTGTGAGACTCCGTTACAAACTGTGTCAAAAGTAGAGACTTCAATCTTTACAGCAGTTTTTAAATTGTGTCGATAGGTCAAGAGAAGAAAACCAGAGTTATGATAAATAGCATATCTTACTATTTTTTTTTTCAGAAAATGAACGTTTTTTATTTTGAAGCGCGTTGCAGCTGAAGGGAGCAGGAAACACGGTAATCTGATGYAAAAAAAACACCGCTGTCCATCGTCAGTSTCATCTTTCGRTTWAACCGAAACAATAWAARCCCCCAGACCTCCTTTTTGACTGAGGCTCAAAGTTKTCTGACAAGTAGTAAAAAKATCTACAYGAAGAAGAAAATAAAAAYAGGCYAAATTTGAATGGAGATTGGCGGCAATGAAGAGCCGGTGAGAGCAGGACTTTATTAATTAGATCTGTGACTTTTAACATGTTTGGATTTTATAGTTAGTGTGCAGTTTTGAGTGTTTACTCTTCATTTTAGCCAGTTTTAGTGTGTTTTGAATCAAAACAATGAGGCTATTCTTTTTAAACAAGGAGAAGCACGGAGGTCTGCAGAGGCAGAACGACAACACGTGTCTTTTTTCTCTCCCCTCACTCTTGCAGTTAGAAAAAAAATATTTTATCTCTGGATGTTTTTTTATATTTTTCATGAGAAGCGCAGTCCTACAGCAACTTTTCKCCATTTTTCCTATTTTCCACAGAGGAACTCATCCCATTTCCCCCCAAACAAATATGTCAGCCTCCGTCTACAACACGGTCACGTGAAGTACCCGACTGTTCGACMTTGAGAATAACAGGTCTTAGTCTAGCAAAAACTTCAACACTTATCCTTTCTTGTATTCAGCTTCCTGAAAACTAACAAAACTACTAATAAATATCCCCTTTTTCACAAAAATGTGAAATTAATTTTTTGCCATCATTAAAAAAATAGCAAGAYGCAAACAAACTTTAAATCATAACGGGACCTTCTGCAAAACCCTGKAGGCTGAACTAAGACAGCAACAAACTTTCCAAACACAAAAGATCGGTTCATACGAGAGAGATAATCAAAATCCAAAATTAACAGGAGAACATCTGAGTGCATCGCACTCACTGATCTCAKAGAACTCGCCTCCAGCCACAGAACACAGCTGAGGATCATGGGCCTCTCTGATGATGACCTAGAATAATCCACGACAATGTGTAACGTTATCCGGAGCCTGCCTTCCACACAGCGCATTAACCCAGCTCTCCTCCCGCCCCCCAGCAGCCAGTCAGCAAGGAGTCTCACGCTCGTTACGCAAGACTCACATTGCTTTCCAACCCAGGGATGCTTCGGGCACCTTTACTGTGAGCGGTTTCCTTTAGAGCCGGAGCTCACATAGAAACTGATCAAACATAATGTGCAAAAGTTTCCAACAAGTCTTGTAGTAAAAAACAAAGAAATTAAACAGTAAGATTAGAACTCCAAGTGGAAAGACGCAGCAGAAAAAAAATGCTATATTATCCTAACTTTATCAGTTATTAACCTATTTATAATTAAGGTGGACTTTACTGGATGTGTCATTTCACTGACAAAGTAATTAAATAAAGCAGACTGAGGGATTACTTATACTTACTCCTTTGCTCCATTTCTCTCATGTCCTCTGGACGGATCTTGATGGCGTCCACGTGATCACGAAGCACGCCGGCCCACTTCCGCAACGACTCCATGATGGTCCAGGGCCGCGACATGTCCACAACGAACACGGCTAGGCAGTCAGGTAGCGACTGAGCRGTGACCGCAAACTTAAGAAGGCCTTTGTGGTACAGGTCCCCATCCAGGAGCCACACGTTACAGCGAGTCAGGTCTACGTAAACAAAAAGGAAAAAAAGGTTTAAGGCGGAGTTGTTTTTGTTAACCAGAAAAGTTGGGAGGAGGTAAACCCACCATCCCGGTCTTCATCGTGGACGCTCAAGTAAAGATACTCCAGTCCTCTCCCCTTCTTATTGTGATCAGCTCCCTGAAGCTTGGCGATAAGTGTTGTTTTTCCTGATCCATCCTCACCTACAAGGTATTAGTTATATTATTAGTAGAATGCAGGATAATAGTGACCCTACAAAATCATCTTACAACAAAATGAGTAAATAAGAGGTCTGCAAAATACATCAAAAGTTTATCATCATCCTAATATCAGTCATTGCAACATCAATATCACAAAGAACTACAACGAATCATAGAGTTTTATTTGTCAAGTGCCAAGCAATTATGCTCTGCATCTTAATATATTTGGTCAAAACAACAGACATTTAGCCTTGATGCACACATTTGGTTTAGACAATAATGATGACAGGAGAAAAAGCGAGGGGAAAAAAGTCGGTTTGTCGCAGATCACAAGTTTTCTAATATTGTTTAAGTTACTAAATGTCATACCACTRATCAATGAATAATATGTTTCTTCTATGCCAACAAATATAGTTTCTATACCACATATAGTCTCARAAATCAAACAATAGTTTGCATTTGATTCAGAGTTTAAAAGCAGATTATTAACAGTGCATTCATTATGTCAGTTCAAATCAGAGATTAAGAAAATGGTTCTGAAATCATTAGAAATATTCTATATTTGATGCTCAGATTAGATGTTTTGAAGGTGATTCGCCCTCCCCACCCTCTGGGGTTGACTACACAACCAAACAAAGAGTTTGTCACATCAGGCATGATGATCAGTACTCACCAAACACCAGGATGTTTTTCCCTGATGGCAACTTTGAACTAGATCTAGTTGAAACTTCACTCAGTATTGAGGACCTACGAGATACAAAATAATAATAATAATAATACATGTAAATCAGGCAGCTTTTGTATGAATGTCAGATCTTACAAGCAGTTCAAGATAAGATGCAAAAACACATTAAAAGGCGCATAAATGAATCAGGGTCCAGGACGGCTCGGAAACAGGAAATGATCATTTCTCACTGACCGACCCATTATAAGCAATGTGAATATTAAAGATTTAAAATGTTGAGTCCCTGTAACAGTGCACGACCCCTGTTAACAGTTACCTACGTTGTGTTGTCTTATTTTTTGTTAAGCTTGGTTGATAACGTTTTTATGCTCCTGTGTCATTCAGAAGCTACTTTATTTTTAGCTAGTGTTTAAGCCCCGCGTCTTCAACTATAAAAGCCCCAGGTAAAAATGAACGTCTTCCAGAAACTTTAACAAGTCGAATAAACTTAAACCTTTACGCAAAACTAGCACAAGAACAGTTAGGGGTTGTAAACAAGACACGTATCGCTGGCACCTGATCGGCTAGCTAACGTTAGCTCGCCCGTTAAAACACTGGCCGCTGGGCTTGTAACGTCGCTGCTAGCCGGGCCGGTGTTTGACAGCGGCTAGCCGCCTGTTGTGACAAAGCAAGAACCGCGGCGGTTGACTTCATTCCTACACCGAAGGCGTTCAGTTAACAGAAAACAAAAAAATACTCGCCAGAGGTTTTGTCCTTCCTCGTCTTCCTTGTTGTTGTCGACCGACCCGTTTAGACCCGGGAGCTGTTTCTCCAGAACGGGAGCCATCTTCTCTCTCTCTTTCTACACCCACAAAGGCGAGGCCCTGCTGCTGCTCGGGCACCACAAGCACCGCCTTCGTCCAAGCAGACACGGGGCACGTTGCGTTCGCTGACTGCAACGCTGCCACAGGTAATTTTATTTATATTTATATATTTTTATTGTAATATAACACGAATTAATGGTTTTAAACGTGCTGTCGTCTATGCAGCATGTAACAGCAATATTTTTATGTACAAAAAAATCCAACCCAGTGATCAATCATCTGGTCAAACTGGCAAACTTTTGGCTGTAATCCAACAAAATTATGTCATCACTCATGTTCTTTGTACAGCTGATAGATAGCATTTCATTTACTGCCATGMTGTTAGACATTTATGGCTCCTGACACACTTTTTTTTTGGTTTCATTATTTTTTCTTCATTCCTAAAATCTACAAAATCTGAGCCTCCTTTAAAATATGGAAGCCCTTTAGTGTAACTACTAAAAAAAGTCACAAGGAATGTCAAAACTGTGAATTTCAAAGTAATTTAGAGTCACTATGAGTGTCAATGTGAAAACTATGAGTTTGAAAGTCATACTATGATACATACATTATTAAGGTTTAAAATGTCAACTTTCCTGCCAGCCGTTCATTTTTATGTTGTAGTTCAGCCTCTGGCCATTAGTTGGCAGCAGTGAGCAAGACATTTGGCTACTCCACCTCTTGAGTGCCAGAGAGTAAGGGTAGCATTAGCATTGTAAATAAACATTAGCTTTTCTTTTTTTTTTCAGTAAGAGGTTTTTTATTTAATATAATTTTTGGACAAAAAATCGCAATATATCGCAATATATTGCCTTGCTTACAGTATAGCAATATATCGTGATATATCGTATCATGACCCCTGTTATGATATGTATCGTATCGCCAAATTCTTGCCAATACACAGCCCTAGTAGATTGCCATTATTATACATGGTATCGCTGTGAGACACACTGTATAGACACACTGTATAGACACACTGTATAGACACACTGTATAGACACAGCCACACACAAAGCGAGTGTAAATTATGTGTTTTAAGTTAATTCTGAGGATAAATTATTTTTTATTATAGAACATGGAATTTTTTTTTATTTATTGTGAGTTTTGGACCATTTTGTAAGCAATCTTAAATTACTAAATCCCAAACTACTCGATCAGCCACGCACTTTGCTGCTCAGGTGGAGAGTCATGTGTACTCATACCTACGGCACAAGTGCCTTTCAGTATATWAAATCCCGCTCAAATCTGCTACAAAACAGAAGTCCAGTTACGGTCTTTTTCTGGTTCTTTTCTAATTTTCAAGTATTTTTCAAATTTTCTAGCTTTGTGCTGGATGTTGGTGTAGATTCTCAATCATTTTGGGCAAGCATTTTTAAAGGAAACGCACGTTATTGTTTGTTTGCTTTTTTTAACTAACAAGCCTTTTTGCATAGTAGGTGCAATGCCCTCAAAAAACAAGAAAGTCAACTCTGTTCAATTTTTTTTAATGTAAGCTGTTTCTGCATTTATTTGTCTAAAGTTAATTTATTTTAAAACAAATGACAGTCAGTCATGTAAAACTTGCATTGCCCAGCAGATGGCGCTGTTTGTTACTTTTGGAAAACTGAATCTGGTGTTTTCTTATTTTCTCCTGATGGGGTAAGAATAAGTATGGAAGCCCATTTCCGCCACCCTGATAAAAAAATAAATAAAACTTGAATCTCATAATTATGATATAGCTATATCATAATTATCTATAGCTAAGTCATAATTATGAGATAGTATCTCACAATAATGATATAGCTAAGTCATAATTATGAGATAGTATCTCATAATAATGAGATAGCTAAGTCATAATTATGAGATACAAGTTTTATTTTTTTATCAGGGTGGTGGAAATGGGCTTCCACAAATAAGGACTGCAGAGAGTTAAAAGTGTTTAGTTTGAATAACAAACCATGAAGAACTTTTAAAGCTTTAAATTTGTAATTACTTAACATTTTCTAAACACATATCATGGATTTTCTTGCCAATAGATTGTAATATTACTCATAKAATTCTCAAATTTTCAGTACATAATACTATGAAAACATGACAGGATTTTTTGCTTTTATCAGCCTTTTTAAAATATAATTTATCTATCAGTGGAGATGGAAACAGCACACATTCTGAGTAGTTTCCCACATTCCTGCACAAACAAATTCTCCGTCACTCATACTTGTGGTGAGAAGCTGGCGTGTTGGAGAAACCAACAGCTGTTTCTTTACATCTCTTTGTTTTCCTTGCTGCTCCAGTCGGGGTCAGCTGGACTTTGAGCCGCTGGCAGATAAGTTTCACACTTTAACGCAGACGTTTTGGCAGATTTCTGTGGCGCTTCCACACTTGTGTCTTTGAGTGTTGTCAGTGCGAAGCACAGTGGCTGGTTGGGGTAGCGGTCACTCTCTTGGGAGTGCATTCCTGAGCATTTGCATCATGTGAAAGTCGGCCTTCGCTGCCTCGTTGTCACTGTTTAACCCTGCCGTCAGCAGGGAAAACAAACAAGATGGAGCTGATGTTCTCTGTTTTTCTCCAGCAGCTGAAAAGAGTTAGCTTTATCTTAAATCTGTATGTTTGTTTATTCATCCATTGGTTCTTCCAATGACATTTCTTTATTTAAGCGTGCAGTTGGTTTTAATTTGTTCTGTGTTGTAGTTCTGGATTTAGAAAAAAAAAAAGTCCCAGCATGCAGCAGTCCTGTCAGAAAAGATTTATAGACGAACTTTCGTGCTCCCTCCAGAAAGAATCCAGTTTTTCTACTTTTGAAAAAGCATTTTCAATAGTTTCAATTTATCTTTTTGAAAGAAACTTTACGACTCATAATTTTTTTAATTCATGCACGACTTAAAATTCAATCGTAATGTCTTTCTTTTTAAAGTTTGAAATTTAACTTGKTTAAACTTGCAGAAAGCTTACATAGATTTAATCAAATGGTGATTAGAACATGTTATTAGTTCACAAAACTTTGTGCTGTCAACTTTGTCACCACAAGAGGGCGGTGTCTCCTCACTAYTTCAAATTTAGTGCTTTATTTCTGTAAAACCTTAACAAAACGGTCGAAAAGATACAAACATGGTCATTTTCATCTGTTTGGTTAAGAAAAATATATGTTTTCACGTTTTATTGTGACTTTTAAAGTAAAACATACTTTTACATGTCTTTAAATTTACTCTAATATCTGTTTTTTTAATTTGTTATATTGAAATTCAGCCATGATAAAATACACAGCAGAGCAAACTTACATGTAAAGCTCAGTCCTGAGTGACTAAACAACCATCGACTTGTATGTAAATCATTAAATCCTTCCTCTAGTTTGTGTGAAATATCCTGAAGAATCCCGGTCGTTTCTTTCTTCACGCAGGTAAAGGAGTTRGTGTTTGGTGTTCACAGCCACTAACATTTCTCTGTCGATGTTAATAAAAGCTCATTTTGTTTCTGAAACATTAAAGATTTCACATTCTGTAGGTCCTCATCGGTCTTCAGGCGGACGACAGCAGCTCAGATCTCATTTTTAAACCTGACAGGCCGATTATCTGGACAAGGTCAGCTGTTGAATTTCAAGACGTCGCACTCTCCTTCAACTTGTCCCATTAACACCTTCAGGCAAAAAGCAACGAGGTGCAACGCTTTAGAGTACTGCACAATGGCTGCAGCAAGCACTCACTCCTCCAGCTCATTTACCTGATTTGATTTGATTTATTTAACAGGAAAAGATTATTAAAAATCAAGCCTGACTCAGCATAATTGCTGTTTTACAGCAGTTTCCTGTTCTGCAGCACATAAAACACTCAGAATTACAGCATCACAATCACATCATTATACACCACAGACACAAAGACAAACAAGCATACCAAATTTCAGGAAGGCAGCAAAATATCTCATGAAGAGAATATTGAAGCTAGTAATTACAGAAGGGGCAGCTCTTTAACATTTGAAGTCAAGATGGCCACCAGAGTGACGACTAAAACTGATCTAACCCAGTCCATTTGACAGATAGAGAGCTGAAATGTGATGTGGTAATAACTGAGACTGAGCTCCATTTTCACAAGGTTGCATGAGATTGAGTCATTTACGAGGTTTGACCAAAATTATGACAACTCCTTTCCATTTAAGCATCTAAAAGTCTGTGACAAAAGACTGCAGGTAATGTGTTCATTCAAAGACGACAATTTCTTTATAATATTTCTGGGTTTTGTTTATTATAGGCAAACATAAAAGTTTTTTTTTCCTTGGTGATCAAACCTACAAAATAGCTCTTTGCGCTGCAGAAATAGTTGTGACGAAACTAAACGGAGTTTCACTTATTGGCAAAAAAAAGTGGGAAAAAGATGCAGTTTATTATAGTGGCGGTGGTCTGTACACACAATCAGCCCCAGGCCTCAGTATCTGTTCAACAGGGAAATAAGCGCTGTAGTGGGTGTGTGAGGGAGGGGAGGGGTTAAAGATTTGGGTGGTGTAGATTGCAGACAGAGCAGTCCCGGGGTTGGCTGCATTGTGATAGCGACAGATGTCCAGAGAACTGCYAGGGGCACTCCTCGGTTACAACACACTGCACGTCTGAGAGCAGGGCCGGAATCTGCAGCTGTCACTCCAAAGGGCTTTTACCTCCATTATCACATCCACCCGCAGTCTGGGAATAAGGCACCAAGACATTTGTCTATAAAAGGTACAGGATTTTGATTTATTTATTTATTTATTTATTTATTTTCAAACGTTGGAAAAAAGGGGAAAGAACGAAAGAAAAAAAGAAAAGAAAGTTGCTGTTTATCCTTTGTTCCCTTTTCTTATTTAGAGGATTAAACATAGATCTCTCTTTTCACTGTTTTAGTTCACAGAAGACTTTTAGGTGACTGGAGATAGAAATAAATAATTCAAAGTTCCATTTGATGAAAGAGACACGTTAATTCTCCTGTTAGAGCAACAATTTTCAAATCACAGGGAACAAAAAAGGGCAGAGCATCTGAGGGAGGCAGCAGTGGGTGGGTTGAGTTGGGGGATGATGGAGACCATCTCTACATCCTCCTTATTCACGTGTTCCCGGCAGGTTTATAGTTTTATTCTGCTCCAGTTTGTGTTACCACAACAGATCTTAGCCCCCCGTGTTGTCTGCCTCCTTCACCCGAGCCTCTGCGTRGGCGAGAGTGAGCGGCTTACAGATGAGGGGGTCCTCATTCTTTGTTACTCGCRGGTTCGGGCTGCCCGAGGCTCCATTTGCATTTGCATGTGTCCATCTTCTCAATGCCATCCAGGACTGAGCCTGGCTTTTAAAAAAATTGTGMTTTTTTTTAATGTTTTAAACAAAGGAAGCTTCAGAACTTGATGCCTAAATAGATTTTTTTTCTCACATCAGTGTCGTCAAACTAGATCTTATTTTATTTTTTTACCCTTGTTTGACAAGGACACTGAAACACAGACAGATTTAACATTAAACACATAAATTTACCATTTATATACCTGAAATTACTCTTTATATTTGGATTTTTTTTTCAGTGTGAACAATAAATAGGCGTATAGATTTATTTCTGCCTAATTTATGGCACATCTTGTCTCGACTGCTTCATGTCACCACAAGTTCTTCATATACCCGTGACCCCGAACTGAACCTGCTATAGAAGTTCTAATTATTAACACTGATCCATGTTGCATGCTTTATAAAGTTAGTGACTTACAGGACATTTGTTTTAAAGCCAGCTTATTAAAGCTTTTCTTCTATTCGTGAGAAAAGCTGCTGCATAACAACAATTTTATTAATTTTAGTTTCAAACAAGCGCAGGATTTGCTGAAATACTACCCCAACACAAATTTAAACTTCCTGTTCTCTGTTCTATCGCTGCCATGTTCTGTGAAAATCACTGCAACTTCCTCTCCAGCCAGCACAGCGTGGAGACCAACACGTTTGCTCAGTTCACCAACAGATGCACTGGTTTTACACGAACAGGACGTACATTTTTGAGACGTCATGTGGATCCGACCGCAAAGCCTTACATGATTTATGTGCYCGCTGAGAATTTTGGTGAAAGTAAATCCTTTCTAGTTTTTTTTTTTTCACGGAAGTTCATGTCGGACTGTAGGCTCGTTTGGCACCGAGCTTCACCAGACATTCCTGAAGGAGCAGAGAGACCGTGGGGCTCTGCCTGACCCTCAGCAAGGTTCCCAGGCAGACGGCAAGATTTGTTTAGGCAGAAAGCTGTTTCCCAATCCAACTTCTCGTTCTCTTCCAGACAAGATACTTCTCTACTCAACTGGAAACTCTACGTTTGAAGGAACTATGGTTTTAAATAAACATGCAACAAGATTTTTTTTCCTTATGCATTCGTTAGATGTCTGTGAACCAAGTCAGCAGTCTGTAAAGATGTGTTTTCWTATTTYTTTTAGCAGAAACCAAAATTATTTTTGTGGACAAGACACTTTTATTAGACATGRATACCTGCGATATATTTTGCCACCRAGCTGGCCCTACTGCAAGAAGTTAATGACCACAGCAGTAGTTTTTATACATTTACTCATTAAAGAAGATTGGGTTCGGGTGAACTGATCGGTACTTTCTTTATGTTGGATTTGTTGAGATACTGATTTCAGAAATAAAGCACTTTGTTCCAGACTTGTGTGCAAAGAGAGAAAACAAACACAATACCTCTTTTTTATTTTTCTAGGAGCCARCATGGGAGCCAAGCTGAGCAAAAAGAAGAAAGGATACGATGTTAGTGATCCCAAAAGCAAAAACGGCGAGGCCGCAGTAACAGAAGTTGCTAAAGTGGAGGACGGAGCCCCGTCCACAGGAGCCGAGACGACGCCTGGGAAAGACAGTGTGGTTGAGGAGGCCATTGTGTCAGCCGTGGCAGCAGTAGCCGAAYGCGCTGCAGCTCCAGAAGAGCCAAAATCCCCCCCGACGGACGAGAAAGCTCTTGRGGCTAAAGAGGAGGCTACCCCGGAACAGAAACCAGCAGCCGAGGAATCTGCACCGGCAGCGACGGAACAAGCTACCGCAGCAGAACAACCGGCTCCTGCTGAAAAGGAAGCAGATGCAGAGAAAGCACCAGGAGATCCCAAATCTGCTCCCCCAGAAGAACTCGCAGCCTCAGTGGAAGTTGTTCTGGAACAAAAATCAGCAGCTCCAGTCGAGGACGCACCAGCTGCAGAACCAAATAAACCATCACCCACAGAAGAACCAGCTGCACCGACAGAAACAGCGGCTCCAGCAGAACCAGAGAAGCCGGAACCCAAAACAGAGGAGCCGATTGTAGATTTGTTAGTGGCCACGGCAATCACAGAAAACTCATCTGCTCCAGRGTCAGAAGAACCGGTGCAAGTTGAGGCTGAACCCGAGTCTGCAGTTATACCCGAGGAGCCTCGTGTCGAAGAACCTCCCGCACCCGTAGAATCTGTGCTGGAACCAGATGTTGTTCTTGCCAGCACAGAGGCACCACTCAAGGATCAGGAGCCAGAACCCATCCAGGAGCCTTTTACCGAGGTAGAAGCCGCAGTGGAAGAACAAGTTGTCCCAGAACCAGAGGCTGAGCCAGCAGGAGAGCCACGAATGGAATCAGACACCAAACCAGAGCCCAACGATGCAAGTCAGGAAACTGTGGTGGTACCAGAAGAAAAAGTAGAACCAGAGCAAGAGACGGAACCAGATCAAGCAGAGCCAGAGTCTATGGAGGCACCTGAGCCTGAACCTGAACCAGAGCAATCCCCAATACCAGAGGTAGAACAGTCACCAGAGCCGAAACAAGTAGAAGAACCCAAACCACAACCGACTGTTTCTGCATCTGACACTACCGACCCTGATAGTCCTGAACCAGAACCATCAGATGTCCTGGAGGCTTCAGCTCAGAATGTCTCCTTGGAAAATCATCCTGCGAATGAGGAACCACCATTACCAACAGAAGCAGCAGAACCCGCCCCTGAAATCATCATCTCGCAGTCCGTTTCCACCAGCAGCATGACTGTTGAGTCCGACAAGGCAGCTTTGGAAGAGCTAACYTGCCCCGAAAACTTGGAAAATGGTGATTCAGGGAGCCCGTCTACCCCAGAGAATCCAGCAGACGCAGTTCCAGCAGTGAACGGGAACTGCACRGATAATACCAACGCTTTGGCCGCACACGAGGAGGAATGTGTTAACGGGAACGAAGAGCTTGAGGAGACGCCTGTTAAAGAGCAGAGTGAGTTTGAACTGAAAAAGGACCTGTGTGGGGATGTCCAGGAAGTCCCCGATGCAGTCRCAGACATGACGGAGGGTCTCATCACTGAGGTCACCCAGGCAGTCTGAAAAAAAAAAGCAGAAAAAAGCCATCCTTTACATCACTGTGAATTCAGTTCTGATCCTCGATGATGAAAGAAAGCCTCCTTTCTGACAAGCTTTAACCACTGCACTGTCTTCTGTGGTGACTCGGGACGCGTTCCTTGGAGTAACCAGAAACGACACAACCACTTGAGGATAAAAACTGACAGACAGAGGCGGGAAGTAAATGAGATTAAAGAAACGGAAAGAGACTTGAGATGGTCATTTTAATCCAGGCAGATATTTATGCTGGACAGCTCGTAAAAAAATAATAAAAAAAATAAAAAACATGTTACTAAGTAATGAATGAATAAATCTGTGTGTTTTAGGCTGGTTAATACCACAAACTTTGTTATTGGACAAAAATTCACCATTAGCATATTATTGGACATAGGGCTCCATTTATTCTTTCTGTTGTYTGAAGCAACATGACTTAAATGTTTTGCTTTTTATAATATTGGTACCTGTAAGACCTGATCATTTTGAATTGATTGTTCAGAATAGAAAATAATAAAAAATGTTCTTGTCCAAGTGAGCCTTTTATGCATTCTCTCTGCCTTAATATCAACTGTAGATAATACTTGGGTTTATTTTAGTTATTTTAGTGTTTTTCAATGCAAATTTTCCATTTTTTAAAAAAGATTTTGAGTTGTTCTTGTTCTGAGTTGATGTTAGCTTGACTCACGTGAGAATATCTGATTTTTCTAACTGAAAATCGCTCTGATTGCGTTCATTTGAAGATCCTGGCCAGTCTGAAGTGCAGCCAATAACCCAAAAAATCTAACTCTACATTTAAGTTGATTATACAAACATCAAACCACTTAACTAATTAGGCAGAAAATTCTACAGCCTGGAACAGGCGAACAAAATAATTTCACCGTTCCCAAAGAAATAACGGTATTTTCACGAGTGGTCCCATGATTTTTGGTCACATCAACGTYTTTTCTTGCTGAGGCTTCGAGCTATGACAGCCAGCTAACATTTTGCAGATCCATACCGGCGAGGGAAACTCAAGGAGGGGGGAGGGGATGGAATGTGTGCAAGAGGCAGAGAAAAGAAAGAGGGGGGCTGGGGAAGAGTGTGGGATCAAAGGGCTTTGATGCTGCACAGAGGAAAAAAAACTCTTCTGGCTGCAGACATTTTAAGACATTTTCACAGCCTGACTTTGGACATAAATCGGGTTGTTAGACAACAGCGATAGTTATGTTTTTACATTTAAGGCCTCTTGCTCAATGTTGACACACCTGCTGCTCTCATTAAGGTCTCACTGGCTGGACTTCGTCCTGCAGATGCTAGCTAACATTAACAGGGAGAAGTAGAACAATCTTTGTCTTTAACTTTTAGCTGTGTAAAGGGGAGGTACTTGTGATCGAGTGCAGCATCCATCCATTTGCTTCACCTATTTTACCTTCCTGGGTCGTGGGAAGCCCAGACACTGTGTGGGAGACGGGGGACACTCTGGACAAGTCCATCACAGGAACACAGAGACAACTAAATAAATCTAAATGTAAACGTTAAACCTTAAATGTTGAAGTTCACATTTAGTGGAACAGAGGCTGTGTCCAAAATGGCAGGCCGGGTCCTCCGAAGGCCGAATTCGTCGGCCGCATACGTCCCAAACCGAAGACTCCTCTGATGCGGCCGACAAATACGTCCTTCCTTTTCCCCGATTTGAAGGATAGGTCCGATGGATCCTTCCCAGCCCAGCATATCCCATAATGCATTGCGGCCCGACCGGAGATTTTTTTTTTTAAGCTAGTAATGCCGCCATTACTAGTTTAAAAAAAAATCTCCGGTCGGGTGAAGCGAGAGAAAAGAATATGTTTTAAATAAAAAATATGACAATATAAAAATTAAAAAATTTTAGCGGTTGTAATTCTAATACTTTTATCATTTGTATGGACATGTTTTTAAATATTATTTTTATCATAAAAAATGCGAAATAAACATGCACCTACAGCGGGTCAATTAGTTCTTCAAATGTTACCTTTAAGTTAATTTTATTGTTTTGTGGTATTAATAATGCTAATATATCGATATTTTTCTAATTTTGATCTATTTTTGCTTCTGTTTAACATCGTCATGGTTGCTAGGTGACATGACGTACGCCGGGGTGGAGGGGAGGCTAGACCGTCCAAATTCACAGCCTCTTGTTTTCCGGTCTACCAAGGACCCGGCCCACCTCGACAGGGTAGTCTGGGTCCTCCGGAGGACCCGGCCTGTTGTTTTYGACACAGCCAGAGCRTTTGCTGTTGGTTCTCGACTCATGTTATGACATCATCATCCTGAGACAATAGCAACCYCTAGCGATCCAATGCAGCTAAAGACATTAAACTTACAGTTATGGTTGGTGTCTGAGCTGCACTTCAAACTGCTGAACCACAGGTACCACCCATGTTGTTTTTTTATGAACACACTGAGGCTAGCAGCGGCCATTGTTGATGTTTGTCGCAGGATGATGACACCATCCTGGTTATCTGACGCCAACTTCTGCTAACGCTTCTAACGCTGCTAAAGCTAACATGTAAGAACAGTGAGCTAAATAACGAAATGTTAGTGGAAAAGTTTTCGCACACAAAGAGTGAGCCAAGTAATGAAAAACATGTTGAAGTGAAATAATTTAACATTTCATTTTAAACTTGGCGCCCCACAGAAACCACCGTACACGTGGAGAGCATGAAAACTGCAGCCAGAAGTGTCTCGAGAGGCAATCCTGCAACCACACCGAGACCACTGCCGAACCTCATGAAATTGTCCAAAATCTGAGAATACACACAAAACTTTTGTCATATTGATGGTTAATGTGTCCTTAAATTGAAAAACTATAAGCTACATTTTGACTAAATGGCCACATATTTATCTAGAAAACACCTAAAGTAGGCTACTGGAAAAAGGAAAATGGAGAAGTTTTGCGAAAGTGTTTGAATGCCAGACTTGGTCTTTATTGTGCTCCTCCACCCGGCTTAATCCTCAATATTTATATTTCACATTTGTCTTTGGTCTTTGTCTTTCTTTTTCTCCAGTTCTGCCATATTTGCTTACCTATAGGCCTATAAACTACAGGCCGCCTATGTCAGTCAAGTGACTGAAACTTTAGCACATTCAATCAAGGGCTTTGTTTACYCTGAGCACATACCCCCATATTTGGAAAACTACTGGAGTCAACACTTTGAACAGTTTCTAAGCCCAAAGATAACAGTTTAAATCTAAGGGTTGTCCTGACTGACAGGTTCTAAACACATCTGACATGTCAATAATCAGTTTAAAGTAGAATTGGGTCATGCTTCTGTTTATCCTCGTTTAGAGACYTCACTGACTCCAAATCTAGCAGCTCATTATTTGCCTTCATTTTCTTTAGCTCATCTGTGTGTTTGCGTAGGAGAACAGGGTCCTTGTCCTCGGCTTCTTGATTTACACACTGCCTTAAAGTTGGGTGTTTGTAAAAAGGCCAGCTGCACTGCCTGGTTACCCTGACACTATGTGCTCTATATGCAAGCCCCTGCACAACGCTCAGACTGTGTCTCTGACCCTTTTTCCTTTTGTGTGAGGAGCAGGCTGCAGGCTTGAAGAWACACCAAACATAGCTTTACGAGGGGCAAAAAGACTAAATTTTAAACTACATACAAGGCGCAGAAACACTCAATCACTTTTTTCTCCTTTTGGGCATGATAACAGAGAAAACAGTCAGAAATAACTGCTTTCTTTTAAATTTATTTCTTTGAAAACTTGGTTTCAGATCTTCAATATCTCTGAATTCACATTTTTTGGTAAACGTTATAGAAGAACTTGCACTAAGACAAGCGAGCGAAATCATTTGGAACGCTCTCTCGCTTTTCRTCTTGTCGTAGTTTAATTTTTAAACGTGCCCCAGTTAAGCTGCTTCACATTTATTTGCTTTAGCAAYGCCAAGAAAATAACCACTAACCACAGCAGATAGATCGATAAAAAGATGAGGAGAAAAAAATGCTCCAAAAATGTCTAATCGCAGTTAAATTACTAAACTTTTCTTTTTACGTTCCACTGCAAAATTTTTATTTTTTGATATTAAATTTTATCGTCCCTCTTCTGTGTGTGAAATGCTCACTACTGACAGAGGTTTATGATACACTATAAAGATGAGATATGGTACTTCTTACTTTACAAGCTTCTTTAAAGCAATATTTGAAACTATTTTTACACACAAAAATGAAATAATGAAAGGAAAATCCCAGACATGCTCACAAGACAAAGGCTCATGCCCTTAATGAAAAACTGCAACAAACAAAAAAACAAAAAAACTCAGAAATAATACATTTTTTATTAGCGACACATTGTATCTCAGAAATAAGATTTATATCACAAAGTATTATCGCACATCATATTACATTACAAATGGAAGTATTTTGCATAAAATAAAAACACTCATCAACATAGTAACGGCTCAATCTTGAGTGAATCAAAAATATTGGTAAAAAATAAATGGCGTGGAAGGTTAAAAAACTCAAAATAAGGAATGTCGGTATTTATTTATGACACTTTGAGGTGTCATAAATATATCTTTGGTGTTTTAAAATTTTTTGTTACAAAGTGGGCTTTCATGTTTGTCTTGTGAGCACATAAAAGCCTATTCAGGCCAGAGTTTTAGACAAATATCCTACGTTTAGAAATGACAGCTACATCAACTTTTGTAATTTTTAAGCTCAGTTCTGGTGGCCGTCTTGAATTATTGGCTCCAAGTTCAGTTGCAGACGTGCACCTAATGATTACTTTCTGCAAGMTTTATTACCATTTGTCCAACGGTTCGGGAGATATTTTGCCAACAAACACAATGACACACAGACGGGCAAAACCCTTAGTGTCCGCCTTCATGCGTACACTGTAGGCGGGCGATGATGCAATCATGAGTTTCTCCTCCTCCTTCTGATTGTTCTGTCGACGTTCTGTAATTCTTGGTAGAGAACGGACTTAGAAACGTCTCCAGGTGCAGCTTGACGTGCAGATTTCAAACCCATCTCACAAACGCACACCCGTAAAGTGCTGGCTGTGAGTAACAGCTGCATCAGCAGAGACAGTACAGTGTGTGTGTGTGTGTGTGTGTGTGTGTGTGTGTGTGTGTGTGTGTGAGGATTTACAGACAATGAGGAATCATTTGGACTCTCAGCATCCATTAGACCGACCCAGTGGATCAGTATTGATCCGTAGCAGCAGCAGGCTCTGTCTAAGAGGTTTCTGGTCTCACTGATACAATGACAGCATTAGCACACTTACAGGCCCAGATCGATGGGCTCAGAGGTGGTGGGGGGGTGGGAGGGGGTCAAAGCCCAGCCAGAAATAAAGGCAAACAGAGAGATAAAGAGCCTAATTTAAAGATTTTTAGGTTTCAGAAGAGAGAGAGAAAAAAAGAGTTGCAGGACAGGAAACAACACCGACATTTAAACTGAAACATAACATTTTTGCTTTTCTCAGCATTTTTAAAAAACAAGAAGTGAATCTATGGGATACTTTCTGCTGATCTTTTAACCTGCAMCTGCTTTGAATGTTGTAGAGAGGGGAAGTTTGTGTGCAGCCATGTTAATGAAACCATTGGGCTGTGATTGTGTGAGTTAAAAAGAGCAGCGTGTTTGTTTTCCGTCGTGTCTGACTTGTGTTTTTCCTGCCTGTACTTCTCCTCCGCTGTCCTCCTGTTTGAATAATAAATAACGATCAGCTGGTGAAGCCCACCTGACTSTGATTATCCCCTCAGCCCTCTGAGAGGATGGAACGAGTTAGACCAGAGGACATTTCAGTCTGGGAAGTCTTTTCTCACGCTCTCGTGTCCTCTCTGGTTGTTATCTCCATAACTGGATCGATGGAACCCACAGATAACTTTAGGCACACGTGGTGTTTTATTTTTTTTTTACGCTGTCACCACCAAATAGCAAAGATGATAATGTTTTTGGCTTTAGTCTGTTGCTTTTCAGAGCTGTAAAGTAACTAAGTACAAATATATTTTAAGTAGAAATTTTGGTTAACTGTACTTTACTTGAGTAATTATTTCTCAGACTACTTTTTGCTTCTACTTCTTACATTTTCACGATTATCTGTACTTTCTACTCCTTACATTTTTAAAAAAGTTAAGAAGTAGAAAGTCGTTACTCATACTGGCTCGTTA